TAAGTTTTTATTAAAAAAATTAAACTTTTTAATAAAAACACAGGCAAATTTGCCTGTGTTACAATTTAAGGGATAGGAAATCGACCACTTCTTGAGCATTTGCTGAACTAATAGCTTTAGCTTCTGGCCATTTAGTCATATAATCTGTTGCTACCACTATGTAGCTATTAGTCCTAAAGATAATAGGTAGTGGTCCTACAATATCTATCCAACTTGATAAAAAGGAGCCACAACTGGTATAGAGTATAAGGGAGTAGTCAACCGGGGCTTTCCTCATCATTAACATTGGTTACAGGACTTTACATACTCCCGTATCCGCTCGTACGATTGAGGCCAGTAATAGAGTTGCCTTATTTTTTTGAACATGCTTTGTATCCCCAAATAACCTCCTAGTAGGTGATCATGAACCAAATATAACACTGGTTCCACTTCTTGAGTTTGAATAACTCTCAGCGGCTTATTAGAGTTTTTGCTATTGTTTTGAAAAACAATCTCATCCTTCAAGAAAAACATCTGCCTATTATTTATAAGTCTTTTTTTTTCTTTGTTAGACAACATTAAATCGATATATTGGTCTTGAAGATAACACTTAAGTTAATTGAATTTGACCAGGTCTATTTTAACACTTCTTATACCAGGACATCGACTACCTGGTCCAAATTTTTGCTTTACATCAGATTTATGCCGTTAGAAAATTCTACACAGAGAATTCTTCCTATAGTTTGTTTGACTTGTTCAGGTTCTTTAACATCTTTATTTTGCTTGGATACACTATGACACTATTATCTAATAGTGCAAACGTATCTTTGATTATTACTGTCCCTAACTCCTAGAACTCATTAATTTGTCTCAATGGTGCCGTTATTTTTATTTGACCAATTCTTAGAGTTATTCACTACACATCTTCTTAGAAGATTTTTGATAGCAGATAAATGTCTCTAACATTAGCATTTATCTATACCTGAATCAACAATTAAATTCCCATCAATTTTTTCCAATATGTTTTTTTTTTTTTTACCAATCTGCTTCGATTTTCCTAACTTAGTCCCTGTTAGACTCTTCTTAATCTCTTACTCTAATCGGCAATTGATCCTTTACGGATCAAATTCTCATCAATTTTCACTTGAATGGATAGGGCCCCAACTCGCCCTACCCCATCCTAACCAACCTTACTAATGTTAGGTCTGTTTCTTGAATTAAATAAAACAAAATCTTAATGATGTTATTGAAGTACCTATATTGACTATAGGGTTTAACAAAACTCCTAAGTATGCTCTTTTTTTTTTTTTTTTTTTGTCACATGATCTTGAGGACATGAATGTTCGGAAGGTCATATAACATTAGGATACTAAAAGAAAAAGAATATCGGTATTTATATGCGTTTACTAATCTAACTCGATTTCTACAGATAATATAAGAACACAATTATGATCCACAAGTCTTCGGTTACACCCAAGGTCAATGCCAGTTTGTAAAGCCATTAAATGCTGGGCCTCACTTTGTCATACTTCATCTTGCATCCAGTTTTGCAAAATTAGTAATTCATTTGGATCGTTGGTAATTAAAGGATAGTCACAAAAATCTACTCAATATACAGTCTCCCTTAAATTTAGCTCCCAGGCTGCTATATGGTTATTAAGGGTAGGATGGTTGTAGAAGAAGAATTCATTTTCGAAGAGCTGAGTTTTCCCTGCAAAGACCAATTTTTGGTGTCTTCTAGGAGTTAACTTAGTAAAAAGAAAAACTGGTATATATACAAGCATATCTTTTCAATACCAATTCTGTCTGTGCTGATATCAATAACTTGTGGCTCAGAGGTTTCTTCCTGGTCGTCTTCTGGCCATTTGATAAATTCATCCATCATGAAATCCTCTTGTTCTACTTGGTTAGCAAGGCTTTTATTAACCTTCCATTATTTAGTCGAGGTTTCTTCCTCTAGGGTAGTATAACTTGCTGATCTACTCCTTATTACAACTTCTACTTGGAACTCATTATTATCTGACGTTTCCCATTGTGAAGAAGAATAATTATTATCAGACGATTCTTCAATATCCTCATGCTTAGGGTCGTTTTTTTCTCCCGAGGATTCTATAACTTTCTTAGGTGTAAGAGGCCAAGTAACATTTTTTTTGGGTTTCCACTCTATCTGGGTTACATCAGAAAAGCTTTTTTCATCTTGGATAGCCCTTAAATCGTCTACTAAATATACTTCATCCTGAGAAAGTGACATTTCAGCTCCTTTTCCATTCTCATATTCTCACCACTGTTGGGCAATATCACTATGGCCTTCCCATAACAATCTACAACCTGATTCTACTTCAAAATCATGCAACAATTGTTCATACCCTTGTTCCTGTCGATTCATGTCTATCACTTCGTTTTCATCCATCTCCCACATAGTCTATTGTCCCTCTTCTTCATAATCCATTTCTTTTACTTCTTCTTCATAATTTTTTTCATTCTCATAATCTCTTCATAATCTTCACCTTCCAAGTACTATTCCTCTTCACTATCTTCTATAACATCTACCCTAAAAACCTCTATAACTTCTTCTTGCCAGTTTTTTTTTTCATTATCATCTGCCTCAGAAAGTTGGGATAGTGCATCTATATTAGAATGCACTCGACCACTTCTATGTACGATTTTAAAGATGTAAGATTGGAGCCGAAGGATCCATCTTGCTCTTCTCCCCTTCAATTTTAATATCTCTAACCATTTAAGAGCAGCATGGTCTGTGATTACTACAAAAGACTTAATGTCTAAATAATTATGGAAGTACTCAATTCCCCAAATTACTGCCAGGCACTTCAACTTGATAGTGGAATAATTTTTCTCGGCATAACTTAAACTTCAGCTGGCGTATGCAATCACGTGTTTCCTGTTTTTTTTATCTTTTTGGGATAACACGGCCCCAAGACCTGTCCCTGAAGCATCTGTGTGCAAGTAAAATATCTCTTCAAAATTTGGATACTGTAAAATAGAGGCAGTAGTCAAATGGTGCTTCAATGTTTCAAATGCTTTATGTTGAGGCTTACCCCAATCATATGGCACATCTTTCCAAAGTAGATGATGTAAGAGTTGAGCAAGAGAGACAAAACTCTTAATAAACCGCCTATAGTAGGATGATAGACCCAAAAATCCTCTTAATTGGCGCAGAGTCTTTGGTGCCAGGTATTCCTGAACCTTGATAATCTTCTCATTATCTGGCCTAATTCTATTTTTAGTAATTTCATGACCTAAAAACTTCAACTATCTTCTAAGAAGGTGATATTTGTCACTATTCAATTTTAACCAGGCCTCCTGAAGCTTAATAAAGACCCTTTCCAAATGCTCTATGTGCTCCCAAAAAGTTCTAGAGTAGACAGTAATGTTATTCAGGTAAACTGCAATGAATTGCCCAATATACTCCTTTAGTATATGGTTCATCAGCCGTTGAAACATTGCCGGAGCATTACAAAGACCGAAGGGCATAACATTGAACTTATACACCCCGAACTTAGTAACAAAGGCCATTTTTTCCCTATATTGGTTGGCTACTGAGACTTGCCAGTAGCCACTGGCACAGATCGAAAGATAAAAAATCAGGCACAAATTAGGTATCTGATTTTAAACTAATTACTACCTGATTACCACTTAATTTATGCATATTTTTGTACCAAATTTTTGGTACAAAAATATGCATAAATCAGGTGGTAATCAGGTAGTAATCAGTTTAAAATCAGGTACCTGATTTGTGCCTAATTTTTTATCTTTCGACCTGTGTAGCTAAATCTAAACTGGAAAATCAAAAGGCATTTCTAAATGTTTTCAACATGTTATCTATTCTTGGAATGGGATAGGTGTCCTTCTTAGTTACTGTATTGACTTTTCGGTAATTAATACAGACCCGTAATTTTCCATTTTTCTTCAGTACTAATACTACTAGAGATGATCATGGGCTATAGGACTCTCTTATTAATCCTGTATTCAGCATTTTTCGAACCTCTTCTTGTAAAAACTTCTGTTCATTAGGAGCTAGTTGATAAGCTGCCTGTTTAATAGGAGATGCTGAACCCGTGTCAATGTAGTGCTGAACAATATTAGTTCGCCCTAAATCTTCTAATCCCCTAGCAAATATACCCTCATACTTAACAAAAAACTATTCAGCTTGTTCCCGGCCTTTGTTATCTATTTATTTTTGAGCTACTAATTCATCTAATACCTTCTTCCATATATCACTCAATTCCTTTTTCTCTTCATCATTTTCATTATAATGTCCCACTAGAACCTCTTCTATAGCCGCACAACTCTGTATTCCATCCCAAGAGTTTATATATAAGTCTTTCTCTGATGAAGCCTCACTAGTGTAATAACCTTTTGCTTTTTCTAATATTTCATCCTCAAATTCTAATTCATCAAAGAGGTCTTCATCATCACTTTCATCACCAGGCTTTGGAAGCTGATATTCTCCAATATGTGATATAGCCAACTGGGTTGTTTGGCCTTGATAGGTCAGATATAACTTTTTTTTATCAAAATGCATACGAGCTTTTGCCTTTTGGAACCAATCAGTTTCTAACAGAAACATCTCATCCTAAGAATCAATTACCTGGAGAGTTATAGGGACCAACAGCTCGCCTATAACCATTTTCAAGTTCTCTATTTTTCCTAAAGTTCGTTCACAGGCCCCAGTGGCCATGATTATCACAGTGTTTGAAGGTACTTCAACTCTAAGTCCCAATTTATCTGCCAAGGGTTTGGTGATTAGGCTAATGGCTGCACCGGTATCCAGAATTGTGATTGCTACTATGAGATTTCCTCTAATCTTTACATAACACTGGGTGGCTGTGGTTTTTAAATTTTCCTTGGGTTGAGCATAATTGGTTTCCACAAGAAGTCTAAAATGCTGAAGAGCCTGGGCAAGATTACGGCGTTGGTTAGGATATTTTAACATTTGCCCTATAGTAACACTAGACTTAGTGTTTAATAAATCTTAAACAACATTATATAGTTCAAAGTTATCTACTCTAGAAGGCTCTCTTCTATACCTAGGATGGATTACAGTTGTCTCTTCTGGAATATATGAGTCTTTATTCATTAGTAGCAGTTCCTGGGGCTGTTCTTCTAGTTCACATCTTCGCAGCCTATTTTTCCACTTTGATTTAGACTTTTTTACAGGCTTTAGCCTTTTCTGAGTGGCATAAGGTTGATACCGGGCTTGGTCATTAGCCAAAACCTCACTTTCAACATAATTCTTATCCTCTATCCTATAATAGTTAACATTGCCAGGATGGGAAAGAATTTGAGTGGGCTGAGTGGAGTTTCTTTGGTCATTTATTTTTTTCTCAAACTGGCAGTTCCTAGATATATGACCTGGCTTACCACAGTTGAAGCAAATAATTTTTAAATTTGGTGGCCAAGATAGTCTATCCTGGGTGGGGTGGGTATCCATCGTAGCAGCTAGAGTGTTAATAAGTTTTTTATAACTAGCCGCCATTTGCTTTAATTTATGAGTCAGGTATTCCAACTCTTTTTCCATCCTTAAGACCGACTTAACCTCTTTTTTGTCTTTATAATGACTACCTGCTTCAATTCTCTGGGCTATTACAATAGCATTGTCAAGGTTATCCGGTTCTGCCAAAGACAACAGAGCTGCAATATTTTCTTTGAACCCTTTTAGAAACATCCTTACAATATATGGAGCTGAGATGCTTTTATCAGTATTAACTTTAGATAACAAACACTTAAATTTATAAGTATAGAAATCTACACGCTCATTGTCTCCTTGCTCCAAGTTGTCATTGTTCCGGCGTAGCGAAGTAATCCACAAATTGTTTCTTGAAGCTGGCATCTAAGTTTTTAGCATTATCCCAATACTGCAAATCATTTTTCTTCTCTTTATACCAATTGGCCACTATTTTGGACAGATAACCTAAGGCAATTTTAACTTTACGCTCTTCTCCCTAATTATTTGTATTGGCGGCTTGCTCAAAAACCTCAATCCACTTGATTGGGTCTTAATCCTCTTCATCTTTAAAGGGTTTGACCTGGACTCAATTGGTTTCTTTATATGAAGATCCCTTGGTTATATATTTGAATGCACTAGCAATCTGTTTTAGTATTTCTTTAACATCCTCTAGCTGGTTTCCACCATCAGCTAGTACTTGGTTTTTTTGAACAAGATCATTCTTAATTTCTCTATTAACTTCATTTTTCTCAACTTGGAGATCTTCGTTTCAAATTAAAAGGTCTTCTATCCTAAACTAAACGATATTTTTCTAGAAATATGGATAATTTGGCTAATGCCACAACTAAAACTAAGACTAAAACTACTACTAAAACAAAAGGTGACTCTAAATGCTATAGGGTGCTGTATCTCACAGTCACCACTAATTGTTGCGGGAATAATTTCAATTTGCCAGGAGTTAAATCAACTAGCAAAATTAATCTAGCAAGACACTGGACCACCTTATTAAAAGAGACATTTAGATTTGGCAAAGTGGACTAGTTCTAAAGCTTCGGCAATTCTTAGACAACTATCATGTAATTAACTTTCAGTTTTAATGGCGCTCAAACCACTGGAACCAATTCGCAAGGAAATTAGGTGCTAACAATACTTTTCTGGATATAATGCTTATACAATCAAACTATACCAGGGCATTCAATCATGCTAAGCCAGAAAGACAATAAGGGTTGGATTAATCGGGTAAACAATAGAAATGATCTAATCTAATTTTGGGTTAATAGAGAAGAGTAATCTTTTGGGCAACGTAGCGGTTATAGTTTATACAGAATTCAACAATTAACAATAGTTTTATTTTGCAACGATTGAGGTGTAGATAGTGTCACAATAAAATATATATAAGGGCAAAGACAAGCTAGAGGACGCTTGTTTTATTATATAAAACGATGATTTTTATTAAACAGCAGAAATGGGCTGCTTATATACTTTCTTTACACTATGTTTCGTTTAAGACTTTTAGGTTTTATAATAATATAAACTATTACAATACATTAAATAAAGAAAAGACTTTTAAGTCTTAAAAGTATTATACTTCCGACTTTAAGACCATTAAGACTTTTAAGACAAATCGCTTCTAAAAGTCTTTACTACAAATAAATCAATAATCACCATTAACCAAAAATAGACCAGCTGACCAAAAAATTGAAATTTCCGAAGGCCCAACTTTCCCGGATTACAATACTGTTATTATTCTTACTATAGAATATTGTATTCAGAACATTGTCATTCATTCCTCTGCCTGTGACCTTATTCAGTGAAAATATTTAACTATTGCCAAACACAAATCTCATCTTTTTTATTCTATTTCAAACAATACTATGTCTAACTACAATCTTTACAATATCCATAGCTTATAGAATATATAGCTTCAACATCATATTAGCAATTTTCTCAACCATATCAACAATATATCAACTCTTGGTATTACTATACATATTAGACTTCAATAACTTCAAAATATTCTTTGGTCTACTACTAATATTCTTTAACATTCTAACTCTCTAATAGACAGCCCCAACAGACATACTATTATATTTAAAATTATATAACTTTTTAACTCTCTTAGTATATCTATTCATTCTAGCCCTAACCTCTCTTAATCACAAACTACATCTGGTAGTAACTCTTTCCTTGAAAATATTCTTTTTCATTATTCTAAATATCATACTTTTAAACAGCAACTTTATTACAAAAATATTCTTTTTCTTGAACAATTATGCTTTGCTGACAATAGCATACTACTCTCCTAGATTGCTTTATATTTTTAAAGAAAAAAAGCCTGCCTGGTTTCTCTATCTAGAAAATACTATCTTATCACATTCCTTTTTTTGTACTATTATTCCTTCTTTCAACCTTCTTAACTTATTTGTCTATCAAACTAATTTAATTAACAAATCTCATAAGCCTTAGATGCTCACCTGCTATAATAATGATATCATTATTAGTCAAGTTCACAAAGTTTTTTATCAATCCAACTCAATTTCTATTACTCATTGGCAACATGATATTAATACCTCTCTCCCAACCTGTTATCTCCTTTCTTCTATTATTTGTAAGCCCTATTAAGACTGCAGTTTGAACTTTTTTCATATTTCTAACCATTGTATACTTGAAGTTTCTTCAATTTTTTCTATACAATTCTTTGGTAAAAAATCTAATAATCAACTCAAACTAATGCCAACTATATTGATCTTATTTATTCTACTACTTTTAAAAACTACTTATGATTCTATTTTTATCTTCTATTAATATTGTAGACTCTCTTACTTCATCTCTTTTCTATAACTACACTGCCTCTAATAATCTGTTTCAAATTGCTTTAGCTAATCAATCTTATCAATAGTTTACTTTTTATACAAATGGCTCTGTTAAAATCTTGACACCAAGGAATATACTATGGGTATTGAATGGGCCCAAGCCCAAAATAACTTTGTTATTTACAACTTCTCAGCTCAAATTTTTAACTGGCTCTTATCATATAAAGCTGAGCTTCTTGCTATTTTCTCTACTATTTCTACTCTTCTACACAATTCTTCTGTCAATATTTATACAAACTCCCAATTTGTAATCTCCAAGTACAACAAGCTTCTCCAAACCTTTCACTCTATAACTAAATATTTTAAATTTAATTCTTGGCCAATCTAGTATACACTTATTAACTCAATTAAAGCATATAATGTTGATTTAACTTTTTACAAAGTTCAAGCCCACAGTGCTGATACTTTTAATAACCTAGCTGATTATCTTGCCAATAATTATACATCTTCTCTAATTTTATTGCTTAACTATTCTAATATATAACTCTTTCTTCTTCTTTTAACAAAAAAATTTCTCTATTGATAGCCCTTTTATACGCTTTATTAAAAATATCTGCAATGCTAACACTATCTCCATGTGGTCCTCTTAAAGATGTACAAATAAATGGTCACACTTTTCCAATCTTATTGTTTGAATTTCACATGGCTCTACTTTAATAATAATCAAAAATGCTCACATAATTTCACTAAACCCAAACTTAGTCATTTTAAATCTTTTAAAATTAAAATATTACTTAATAGCCTATATATCACCCAACCTATTCTTATCCTCCAACTGTTTCTAATG